CGGCCCTTTCCGTCTGTTTTCGGACACGTATGAATACATAGGACGGCTACGGCATTTCGGTCTAACCTACGCTAAGAAAATAAACATGTAAACAAAAAGTAATATACATTCATTAAGTTCTTTTACTTTCAAGTTAAATTTCAGATACTTAAGTTCTGTTTAACCGTGCCTTCTACTACACATTACAATGCATCCCCTTACAAAATATTTTATGTGTCTCGATACTCATGCGCGAAACAAAATTGTCGCCCTTGCACATATTTTGAGAATAGCGTCTAGTTAGCGTAAAAAAGACGTTAGCTCTGTGGTTTTCAATACGCTATGCATTACCTACAAAGACAGTTGCTTTTTTAACAGCAGAATATTAAAAAATATTTGATTCAAATTTCAGCTATTTAAAAACGAAGGCGGAAATGTTGTCTTTAAAAACGAAATATTTGCTTAAAAAAAAGAAACAAAAGATGTTTGAGAGTATTATAGTGGACATGTAGCTCTATTTAATGCAACAGGCTTACCGAAATCGATTTTCAAATTAATGTTTTACTCCGTTTATGTATCTTAATTAATTTCAACAAATCAAGTAATATCTTTCTGCAAAGTAATTTTCTAAAAATGAAAATCAATTTTATTCAGCTTTACCCAAGTGCTCGATACAATATATACTATATATTCAGAATTTTGGTTTTGTTGTTGTTCTATTAGTTGATACAAATATATCAGTAAAGGTCAAAGGAAATGCTTAAATACTTATCAAACTTGGTACAAATGTTGACTGGACCATTGCCTTTGTAACGACATGCTCAGTCTTAAATTTCATGTTACCATGGCTACGAGGGGACATCTCAAAATTGCCAAAAATCACTATTTTGCCTTGATTTTTTCCATCAAAATTTATTTCAAAGTGCAGCAACTTCTCAAGGGATTGAGATAGAGTCAAAGGCTTTTCAGCGTTGATTACACGTTACCTTATGATCGACCTGGGGTTATTTAAGCCTCTCACAAGTCCAAAATTTTCTTGGCACATCCCCCTTCTGGCAACCCCCTGATGTATCTTTTGGATGGGGCGGCGCCGAAAAAAAGCCCACTTTTTTTAGCAACATTTCTCAAACGAAAACATGTGTTGGGGGCCCAAATAGGACATTTTTTCAGTATTTGAGGCCTAAAAGAGTGGGGGGGGGGTCGAAAGTGCGTTGTTTCGTGTATATATGAGGTAAAGGGTTAAAAGTACCCAAAAAAGAGAACAAAAGTACCCAACAATACTGGCAGAATGAATAGAACAACCCAACAAGTGTCCTCTCGTGCACACAGACATATAAAGAGAATATCAGAAAAAAGTCTGAATGAGCTGTTGCATGCCAAAATGAGTTACGGGTAACCGGGGTTCTCCACAACCTTTTATATTATCATATGTAACAATTACGAGTAGTATCTATAGATCAAATAATAGGTTATTTCGGAGTTGTCATTTTCTAAATGAATATTACATGTATCTTAATTACCAGAAATATAAAGGCAACATTTACGTTTCAAAAAATGTATGGTCAAGAAGAAGTAACAATGTTGTTCATGATTGGCTTGTTATCTTAATTACATCTAGCAGACAATAATGAATTAGTTTAAAACTTTATTTCAACACATATATATTTATAAAAAGCCATCAATTATTTTATTTTCGCTCGCAGCTAAATACCAGTAAGTAGTATTCACTCAGCACACCCACTATGCGTGGGACTCCTGCATTTAGAATAAAAATCATGCTCCCACTCACTTGTTAAAATTTCACATGCGTAATTACAGATAAAAGAATCTGTACTTTCTGCAAGGTTTAACAAAAACCTGTATGCTTCCACTGCCGCCATCACTGTTCGCGGCGATCTGAAGCTGTGTTAATTACTGGATTTGAGTTGAAAGATCTGTTTTAATGATATACCATGTTTCATAAGCACATTATGCCTAAGAAATTTTTCCCTTTTTGGAATGGACACAATAGTATTGTAACATTTGAATAATGGTTTAGAGCATGTATTATGCTTAATATGACAATTAGTAGAGTTTTAGTGATTTAGTATTTTGTATTGAAGTCAAAATACTAAGTTGTGTACATTTGTGAAAGCAGTGCTGAATGCGAAATTATTTATCATTAAAGTAGCAAAATGTACACAACCTAAGTATTTTGACTTCAACACAAAATACTAAATCACTATAACTCTACTAATTGTCAAAAGGCAACAGAACCAAAAATGGTTCAGGTATACCTCAAATTTGTAGGAAATGTACCAAGTCCATTTCTGGTTGCTCAAACAAAGACTACCTGAAATCAAAGTTCATTTTTGCTCATTCCCTGAAGCGGTCCTTATACACATATTTGAATGTAGGTGTAAAGTATGGAAAGTTGATAATCAAGCACATATACAATCGCATCTTCTCAAACTTCAGATAAGGACCTCCAACACAATGGTATGAGTGCACAGAACCACGACTGAGAATGGATACGGTATTTCAGTCTAACCTAGGGAACTTAATATGTCAACAAATAGAGATTTAATGCTTTGAATTGTTGACAATTTTTTCCCCCAATATATCAAGTAAAATACCACCTAAATAAGATAAATTTATACATACGAAAGTAAACAGTACACTATCTATATACTTATTATCATAGTTGTAGAAAATGTCTGACATCAAGACAATTTTTTTTAATAATTTTACATCAGTGGGCATTTTTTTAATAATTTTGATTGCCAGACATATTTACAATCATAAAGGTGATCTCTTGGAGGAATTAATATCAGCAAAATAACATGAAAATTGCAGACTCAAATTGATTGAATCTGTACATTAGGCAAAATGAAAAAGTGCAAGATCCCTCACGCCCCCCTATTACCGGCTTGAGCGGTTCTCAATTTTCAACACTTAAAAGTGCAGGATACTCCCACACTTAAATGGAAAGGATATCTCGGAAACATTTAAATCAGCAAAATTACATGAAAATTGCAGACTGTTTGAGTCTGTATATGAGGGATAATGAAAAAGTGCCAAAACTGTACCGAAACATACATTATATACCTTTGAATGTCAAATAAATATATGTACATTCTTTAAGTTAATGTCTCATCCATGCATATTTACATAGTACAAAATATTTATAAAATACAGTAATAAAAAGCATGGCCAATCTATCACAGATTTATAGGAGACTATCGTTATACAACTTAAAAAAATACTAAATAAAATTAAAAATAAAAATGACAAAACATTTTTGATTGTTACTGAGTATAACATATACTTTCCTATTCTTATTTTCAAAACTCGAATGATATATTCCATCCTGACATATATAAACATTGATAAAATATGATGTTGTAAAAAATGATGTGTGAGACAGTAACATTTATTAATCTTTACTTGTTTAAAAAAATAGATAGCCATTGCTAATCCATACTACATGTATATGATCTGCCCTATAATAATGGAGATTAAGATATCTGTTTAAAAAAAAGAAACACCTATAAAGACCTATATCAACCCTTATCAGACCAGAAGTGAACTGATTAGTAATGACTAAATGATTATCTACATTTAGCTACAAACATAAAAGCAATTTCCTTAAAAAATTAAAAATAAAATGATAAATTTATGAACATTTTTAAAAGAATTCTACATGTAAATAAAATACAGTTAGGTAAGTGTAACCTTATTACTGATACAAAGTATTAGAACGATTGAGAAATATATTATAACAGGTTTTGGCAGTTAATTTGGCAATTCGGTATTTGAGAGTACAAACATACTTTTTTGTTCATCATTCATATTAATAAAATCAGCATTGATATCCTTGGCTTTATCAAATAAAACATTTCCAAGAAGTTGGTAAGCAGGACATTGTGTTAACACATGTATTTCTGTTTCAACATTTTATTTACAAATTGGACAAATCCTGTTATTGACATCTAAATTCTCATATCTTCCTGTTTCCAGATGGAGGGGTGCAACTCCACATCTAAATTTTGCTAATGCTGATCAATGATTTGTAGGCATTGGTAAATATACATATTTTTCAGTTTCATACTGATAATTAACAGTTGATATGTGCGTAATTTGTTTCTGGTACTACCAACAGAACCAGTTGGACTAGATATACATCGTTTCCATTCATTAATAAACAAATTCATACTATTTTGCCCAACCATATCACAAAATTTCCTAGATGACAAAACTTTACATATATCTAATATATGTGATAGATTTATTCAATTTCAAAATTAATGTTCTACAAACTTGAACTGTCAGTTTTTACATCTAAATTATGCGTGCATATCAAAGATTACACTCTGTTTTCCTGGTTTTGTCGTTTTGATGCGACAAAATTAACCACTCAGGCCTACGGTCCACTTTTATGGACTGAATTCAACGCCGTTTTGAGTTAAATGTCGAACAGTATCGAATACGAGTGTTACAAGGGAGAGAAATAGTACAAACTTGTGAGTTTGCAATTTCAACGCTGTTGTCTCCCTTCTACGTGTATTTTATAATGTGATTATCGTCGGCCCCATGCGCAAACAACGTATACATAAATATACTTTTTCAGAATTATTCCATTGATATTAAAAATATTTATAAAATCATTAGAAATGTATCTTGTGGATATTTTTATGAAATATTCCTTGAAAGAAATACAACGTATATGACGAATAATAGTACAATTTATTATCTGCTATATAAAGATATTTCAAATCGGATCATATTTCTCAAACTTACGTCCATACATGTACGTAATTATGTTATGGTTTACGGTACATTATGATACTAAAATTATTTATGGTATTACATACATTCTATTATAGACCAATTCACTTTAATATATGAATAAGCAACAAAAATATATGAGCCGCGTCACGACAAAACCAACAAGGTGCGTTTGCGACCAGCATGGATCCAGACCAGCCTGTGCATCCGCGCAGTCTGATCAGGATCCATGCTGTTCGCTATCAGTTTCTGTACTTGTAATAGGGTTGGTAAGCGAACAGCATGTATCCTGATCAGACTGCGCGGATGCGCAGGCTGGTCTGGATCCATGCTGGTCGCAAACCCATTATGTTGATTTTGTCATGGCACGGCTCATATTTATACCATTACTTTAGACTTTCATATAGTGTTGTTACTGTACAATTGCTTAGACATTCATGTTCATGTATCTTTGATATCATGATAAAAAATACAATATTGTTATCCCACGTATTTGCGCATTATGTCTCGGAAATATTTTTTTTCTTAAGAAAGGGGAGACATGAATTTTATAATGTTTAAATAATGGGTTTGGAGCATGTTAGATGCTTGTTACCTGAAGAAAGTAGCGATAAATGTCATTAAAGAAGCAAAATGTAACAAAGTAGTATTTTACATAGCGAAACATCCGGACATCATGTAATCGCTGGTATATATACCGAAGCCAGAAATGCAAAGCTAATGATAAACTTACTAGTATTCAACGAAACAAACAATGTTTAAACATTACAATTTAATTATTATACACAATTGTTATGTTTTATCTTACAATCATTGGTACATACATGTATTAAAGACGAAATTTTATATGTTTATAAACTTTTGATTCAACTGGTAACCTGACATTTTTATTCAAAATTTCCAATCAGTCAAAAATAGTTAAATGTATCAAAAATAGTTAAATGTATTGACACGAAATTATAGATTATTCTCATTGTCAAATTACTTCAAATTTGACCTCCGGAAAGGTTCGAACATTTTTTTATATTTTGCATTAGGAGCTTTATGTTAGTGCTTACGATTTGTAATTGGATTGAAAAAAACAACAAAACAACAAAAACACATTTTAGATATAAAATTTGCAATGGCTCGTTGACTGGAATGTTGGTGACCGGGCGGTCACTTTTATTGACGAGATAAATCCAAGATAATGACCCCCATCCCACCCCCAATAATAATAATAAAAACCTCAACAACAGCAAAACAAAGAACAGTGCACTTGAACGTACAATGAAAATAGAGTTTAGTATTTGTTCAAGTTGCTCGAATTATACAAGTGTTGGATTAACAGAAGAACCAAGTGTACATATGTCCCTTTTCCAGAAATGGATGTAGCAAGATTGCTTCTACATAATGGGTGAAAATGGGATCTACACAGTTCAAAAGATAGTATATGAATCATTTTGACTGTCAAATTGACAAGTTCCATTATGTAACAAAACAAACATTGGTTGTAAGAATGTACATGTATATCATTGTTATCAAAGTATGATTACATATTTGAAAAAAGTTATTAATTCTCTAAAAAATAATTATAAATAGATTACAGATATCTATAACACCAAATAGAGCTTTAAAGCTTGAAGCTTAACTGCCTAATCTACGTCCATTAGTTGAAATCACAAATGTCCATAATGTCAAAAGTATATAATCAAACAAACATACGGCTTTGGACTACACATATCAGTATTTCATTTTATGTATGCTCTGAAGGTGGAACTTTATAAATATCACCACCCTCTTCCTCATCCTCATAAACCACTTGACTGTTATTTCTTGGATAATCATAAATGTCATCTTCTACATTGTTTTCTGTATCAGAATATTCATTTGTAACACCATTGACTATCTCAACAGGATCATATGCGTCAGTTATGCGTTCATCGTTTGTGTTTTGTTCTCCATTTTGTACATGCTTACTATGGTTAGTGCTCATTGGAGTGTTACCTTTTGGTATTATATTTGGAATTTCCGGCACTGGGTCGTAGATGTCTCGACTTCTCTTTTTCGATACTCTTGGCAGAGCTATTGGTGGTCTAGTAGTATGCATTTTAGACTCACTGGCACCCCTTTTAGGCAAATGCAACCCCGATCCATCGTTACTAAGTGGTACATTTGTCATACTTTGGACTTCCCGTATTTCAATATTGGCATACATCTGTCTAGAATTTTCTTCCTTGTTCCTTAATTTTACTCTCTGCAATTGTTCAGTGTCATCGTTCTTAGTTTCTATTGACATTGCAATGTATACATCATCGCCATCGATTCCATTTGCAGCACCCATGTTACCGTCATCTTTACTTATATTTAGGTTGGGTTCCTCGGTGTTATCTGACTTAGTGTCACCATTCTCTGATGCGGTTTCTTTGTCACCAATAGGTTCTGCTAGATCATAGTCACCTTCTAAGCTTTGATTTATTTGAAATTCTACCGAAGATTCTGCTGACTTTCTTAGAACAGAAACGTTCGTCATAACGTCACCTCTAATTGCCTTGCTTTCCGTTATTTCCGTACTTGTAACTTCTGAATTGGAGTCCGTGCAGGAAACGTCAGATGCTTTTTCTCCTACGTCATCTTTAACTTTAGATGGAAAATGTTCGTCACCATTGCCAAAGCCGATTATGGTACTCAAATGAATGTTCGGTTGTAGTTCTAAGAAGGGGTTGAATCCACCTATATTATAATTAACAGTAAATAGTTATATCAAAAGCTTAAAGTTGATTGTCATAGCCATTATAATTATCATAATTGAATTCTGGACAATGAGGTCAAACTTCAGAAAAACTTTGATGACATAAACGGTTCTTGTACAGAGCTTGGTACACTCATTAATGATTTATGTATAATATCTATTCCTTACACGTTTATGTACAAAAAAGAAAAGAAGACGAATTAGAGTCTATCAAAAGAAATTGAGCAAATCCATAATCCAAATTATAAATGTTAGTTTCAGTCGTACCGTTATCTTCCGCTTCCTGCTCGTCTTCGTACCAGCTTGCTTTCTGAATTTCTACTGGTATACTTTGTGTTCGAGGGACGTGCCATACCCTGATGATATCTGTACCACCTCTGAAATAACATTTGCCATGTATTAATAAACGTTTCTCGAATATTTAAAGCCTTGTTTGTTGTTCTGTCCATGCGCATGGCATGAATAATCCTATTGTAACTTAGTTCTTCTTTTATCATATCAATCAGCATACGTTTCGATACATAATGCACACGTATTTATCAATCAATATAGATATAAACAATATTATACCAGAAGCGCTAAATCTACATGTATTTCAATATTATATGTTTAAGCATATCATTTAAAATGTCACTCGCAACATTTCGACCCTTTCCGTCAATCTTGACGGTTATAATTACAGAACAGAACAGAACAGAACAAATATTTTATTTGACTTAAGCATTACAAGCCCATCGTCGTTAACAATGAAAAGAAAAAAGAACATGTATATATATATTGGTATGGCATGGAGGATTTTACATATAATACATGAATTATTATTTCCTTAACACATATATCGTGAGAATGTAACAGAGGAAAAAATATATTTATATATACACAAAAGTTACATGGAAAGAAAATAACAAAAAAAGGAATGATTTCAGATTGAGAACGACATTTATATTATTACAATAGTGAATTTTTTAATTTGAAAGCTTTAAAACAATATATAGCCAATTTCTTTTGACAATGGGCAATGCTTGTCAGACATAATTATTTTTCAATCATTTTTTTTTTTACAGAAATTGACTTTATTTTCTGTTAGATGTAAAATAAACACAGTCGTTATCATTAAACAAAATTACATCTAAAACTAGTAGAACTAATTCTATTTTTTCTTAATGATAAAAATTCCTGGATATATTTTAATATCTTAATTAAAACAGTTTTATTTTGCGTTAAAAGTACAAATGTATAAAGCAAACCTTCGTCTTCTGTACCAACAAAATAAAACGACGCACACTACAATTATCACGACTAAAATAGGAACCACAACTTCAACTACTACAGGCGAGATGGAAGCACCTTCAAAAAATGAATAATAAGATTAAGTATATTACAACATTATATAGATATTGCATGTATTTGCATAATGACAGAATATACCGGATTGTATCTAGAAAATGATAGCGTTTGTTGATATTGTTGATTTTAACGAACTCTTGATATCAAAAGCTTATAATTTTACGTCCTTCGGGATCATATATTCGAGCACATATTGTGTTGAAAATTGAATACGCTTGGACCGGTGCTAGGGGGCGTGACAGATGTTGCAACTTTACATAATCTCTCATGATCAGACATAATAAAAATAAGTCTTAATTTTCACATAATATGTTGTTTTCATTGCCTCCAAAAATACTAACTTACTTTCGAATGTCCCTATTGTTCTATCTGTAGATATTCCACCGGTGATGCCATCAGTAAACGTAACGCTTGTGTCTTTGTCAAAGTATGACGTCCCGACAGTGGTTTCGTCTGTAGTGGCATAAGCGTTCCTTTTACTTGTAATATCATCGACATTCGGTGTGTTCACACTAACACCTGGGGAAATGTTTGTGGCATTATTCAGCAATCCATTTATAGTTGAAAATATCTCGTCAGTTACACTCAATGGACTAGAATCGGTCACATTTACATTATCGTCTGTCGTGTTAACAGCCATTTTGAATCACAACATTCCTACACTAAAGCGTTCATTTTAGTAATTACCAATTTATTTTACATAATATTTAAATTGATAAAATATATAGAGGTTATATGTATTCAAAACAATGGACTTTACTAATGAGTAGTGATTCTATAAATAAGTCAGAAAATATTAAAATACGTAAATAAATGAATCTGATCACAATTGTTAATTGTTGACCAACATATTTGTCGTATATCTAATATAACTTTATCTACCTATCAAGTGAAACGATAAAATATATGATAAAATTTCGTCAAACAAAAGCCAGCGTTGATTAAAATTATCAATAAGACTCACTTTTTCACGATATGATTTTATAACCTGTTTTTATAACAACTGGTGCAATGTGGTACATGTATATATGATTTGGAGTACATGTATATGTTTCAATAAATCACTTAAAGGCCCATTAAGCCTAAAAATTGCAATAAAATTTTATTTTTCAAAAACTGTTTATTTTTGTGCTCTTTTACAGTATCTAAAAAGTAACTCATTAGCTATCTAAGCTAGCGATATTTTGTGCTACTCTTGGGTTTAGCAATTATTACAGCTATAGTGACTTAGTATAGAAGCCTAAATACCACTTTGTTTACATTTTGCTGCTAGTACTTTAAACATAAATTTCTCCAAACCAACGCCATTATTTTCAGGTGATAAGCATCTCACGTGTTTTAATTCCATTTTTATAAGGGGGATCAATTTCGGTTGCTTTATGCACCTTTAAAGCAATCAAATATTATTAAAATTACGCAATTCAATTGTAATCGTTATGAGATGATGTAACAGAAGTACTTCTTGACTCGTAAAATGTATTTCCCCACAAATTGGTTATCAGCTATGTCATGTGCACAAATAAACATGTACATGTATTATTTAGATATTTTCGTCCCAGGAACACCTACACAAAGTCACCTTTTCTAGCCTGACGATGAACGGTATCATTCTTCACGTGTGAGTACAGTATTTTATGTACAGTATAGCAGGAAATGAAAATTCAAATCCAGGTATCGCCCTCTCAAGCAAGCAAGTCGAATTTTAGTCTCCTGTCAATAATTAATAAGTACTTGAATTGTTGAGTTTATATCCCCATTGTTTTGCTTCACGTTAACGATGTTATTTTTTGGAATTGGAGTGAAAACGTCCAAAATGGTGTAGTGTAGAACAATAATGTTTCTATTGAACTCGTACGCAGTTGTAAAACCTATATCAGATTCTGCTAACGTCTCGTCCAATATAGTTTTGACAGCTGTGTACTCATCTAATAGAATTCCATATTGTACTTAACACTGTATAATAACCTCATACTATGAAATAAGCCAACCCCTTTAGAAGAACAGCAGAGAAAGTGCATTTTAATATATATATGATTTAAACTTAGACATATAAAAAAAAGAAAAGAAAGAAGAAAATATAAAATGGTAAAATATGTAGAAATAGCGCAGAGAGGAATGATGTACATTTGTGGAGCATTTTTTGAACTCTGTTAGTCTGTTAGTAAACCATTACAGTCGTGTATTGATTCATTTTTCACGGTGCGTCCGTGGCCGAGTGGTTAAGGACGTTGACTGCAAATCACTTGCCCCTCACCGCTGTGGGTTCGAATCCCGACAGGGACTTTGGATTCTTTCATGTGAGAAAGCTATCCAGCTAGCTTACGGAACGTCGGTGGTTTTACTCAGGTGCCCGTTCGTGCCGTCCACCAGTAAAGCTGGGACCTATACTATGGAGGCTATTCGTTGCCAAAAATCCAGCCTTTGAAACTTGACAATGCATACTTCGGTTCTACTAAACTGCACTGGTATAATCTCGATTTGATAAAATTGAAACTGTAAACATGCAACTTAGATAAATTGCAAACTGTTTTTATAAATGTATAACTTCAAATTTGCGACATGTACAAATGTAAATGATAGAACGTGATGCTGTGCATCATGACTTTGAGAATGTAACACTCAGGTTTACAACACCACACTCTAACGCGATTAACATTTGTAAACGATTTTGCAACTTCCATATATGGAACTATCACGGAAATAGACGAAAATTAATAGGCGGAGCCAATTTTCACGAAAGCAGAATATAAAGAGAGGTAACTCTTGCTGGTACACAAATTTTTCAAATTACATACTAGAAACTGTTATAAATTTCACATACATCAACTGCATAAAAGTTGACTTTGAACATACTCTGATTTTGTTAAAACGTATTCTAGTACAGGATATTCAAGTAATGCAAAATTGGTTAAGATATAATGTAACAATGTAAAAACGTTTATACTGATAATGAGCATAATAATATGTAAAAACTAAATTTGGTGACTTAACAGAAGGGAATGTTTCCTATATATTATGACACACACCGCTAACCGTTGACATGAACGAACGTTACAGGGTAGTATGCCTACTGGTGTCTTTTACATTCAGCAAATAGTACTAGAATGCGATACATGATAGTCACTTTTGGCAACACGAATAAAGGGAACTGAACAGTAAGCCTTGCTTTCTTTCTTTAAAGGACTATGTTGGTTTGTAGAAAAACCCATATTTTTGACCAAGTATATAACCACGGAGCAATTCAGCGTTTACTATCGATAATTCCGTTGTATAACCAAAAACTTGTGAATTTGACCCATTTCAATGTTGAAATAATATTCAGTGTATGCCAGCATCTCTGTTTACTACGGAATTCCATAAACGACAGCCTACTGTTTACTGTCAACTGCCTACTGTCAACTGCTTACTGTCAACTGCCTACTGTCAACTGCTTACTTTAAACTGCTTAATGCTTACAGCGACTGTTTAATGCTTACTGTTAATTGATAAATGCCTACTGCTACACCTGTCTAATACCCGATTAATTGCCTGAAAGTAAATGTTGACTTTTTATGTCCTTCTTCCAATGTGTTTATATGTTACAATGAGGCCGTTTGAAACAGTATTGGTCAAGGAATTACTCGGTATCATTTATGAAGACTTTGACTGAAACCTTGGAACTTGTTACATTAATACATGTACATGTATAATTCACGTTTTACTAAGCAGAAAAATAAGTATATATCTTTGCAGGCATCTGGAACTTTTCCAAATCATAGACCTGTGAACTTTAAAGAAATGTTAAACTAACCAAATATTACAATTTTTTCTGTCATTAAATCTTGTTCGGTAATTTTGAGCTACCAAATATAACTGCTTGCTTAATTACTTATACATGTATATCCCTGTTCAAGCTTAGATACATCTACCATATAGCATGTATATTATAATATTTGTTCATTAAATGATATTGACCCTACCCTATAACTATAGAGCTTAATTGTATTTTTAAACGGAGGCCTTGTAATGTCATGAACGTCTTTGTTTTTACATTTAAATCACAATGGTCAGTTTTAAGTTTGCATTTTGAAAATAATGCTATAATGTTTTGTTAAAAAATAATCTAGGTAATGGTTCTCAAAACATAAATATATAGATTTTCAGAAAAAAATATATATACCAGTCACGTCTCGGATTACCAGTAGTTCATTCTAATGAACGTTAAACGTACTGGGAGAGTATACTCACTTCGTGGTCCAAATCATATATGGAACCGTTTAGTTCTATCTAAAAAAGTTACTACTTGTTCTGGTGATTGTAGACCGTACATTTATACCTTAATTCTACAAAGCCTTAGATTTGACTCAAGAAAATGTTACTTTAGTAGATGTTAAAAAAGCATGATGAGTAACATGTCAATTATTGTGTTATAATTGGAAAGTCGATGCATAATAAAATCATTGAAAGGTCTTTGAGTTACTTGGGCATTATTAATACAAAGTGTTGTAAGTATTTGTTTATCGATATGATGAACTGCGGTATACTAAATTTGAGTCACTGTAATGCCTTCCGCATGTAGTTTCTTAGTTTTTGCAGTATTGCCTGTGTTACATTCTGATTTAAAGGCATTAAAACCACATGGTAGAAGACAGATTAATCAATATGTTATTTCATTGCCTTAAGAAAAGAGTGTTTAGGTTAACTTGTAAAGCTGTTTTGAAGAAATATATTCAGTTAACTTGCCAGATATTCGAGCTTCAGATGTATTTCTTATGGAGCTAATGATATAACGTTATCTTCATCTTCCTAATACATACTTTTCGCGATCCCATCCATTTAAAATTGATGGACTAAGACACTGTTTAACCCATTACCCGATATACACGCCTTTTAACGCCCTTTTCATCCCCTTTTTTGTTGTCTCAAATGGTGGAAAAATGCCTTATTTAGGCCCCCAACACTTGTTTTTGTTTGAGAAATGCTGTTTTAAAAAAAGTGACCACATTTTCGGCGCGGCCCCAAACGAGAGATACATCAGGGGGTTGCCAGAAGGAGGCACAAGAAAGTGTTGGACTTTTGAAAGGCTTAAAATGACACCAGATCGATTATAAGGTAACGTGTAACCAACGCTGAAAAGCATTTGACTCTATCTCAATCCATTTAGAAGTTGCAGCATTTTGAAATCAATTTTGATGGAAAAAAATCAACGCAAAATAGTGATTTTTGGCAATTTTGAGATGTCCCTTCGTTGCCATGGTAACAGAAAATTTAAAGTGACATTATGCTCATATTTTCATTGTCAAGTGGAGCTGAATTGACTTTATATTTCAAAAGATTGACTGTTTAAATAATGTTTGACCGACAGATTATATTAGAAAATGTTTAGGATAAAATTTAAAATCTGCCTAAAATATAAAAAGACTGCCCAACTCTTTTTATAAATTGAACGTTACAGGTAAATTCTAAATGAAATTTTCTGAAATTTCGTTTGAATCCGGTGGTTATTCATTGTTTATGCGAAGTAAATTATTAAATCAAAAGGAATTATGGCAAAATGAAAATTTAGTTCGACTCTCACCTGTTCACTCAATATATACATTTAGATGGGCATAATGTCACTTTAAGCCTGGGCATGTTGTTACAAAGGCAATGGTCCAGTCAACATTTGTGCCAAGTTTGATTAGTATTGAAGCAGTTTTTAAAGTTTTATAGCAATTTGAACTTGTAAAGAGAGACTTTTCAATGAAAACAGCCATTTTTCACAAAATGCTCATGAAGTAATGGGTTAAATGTGGACAATGTT